CAACACGGGAAACGTGCTTAACCTATTTTCAATTTATTTGTCAGATTTGTTTATGCCTAATACCTGGCTACATTTCACGTGCAAAAATATAGGTAAGTGTAAAATGCAAATTTAATTCTGAACTTAGTAAAAAGTATCCTTGCAATATGAAAGAGATATAGATTGCAAAAGTAGAGAGGTAACCTACTACAGTTGTATTTGAACAATTACATCAAATTACAGATTTATGAAATATAGAAATAAACTTATATTGTATGTACAAGTAGATATAAGTAATTTTGTCATCGTACGGAAACTCGCAGTTTAAACTAACTATAAAATTGTTTGCAGATGCTTGATGTCATTGATGTCATTAAGAGGTAGAAAAGCAGTGGAATACTTCATGCACTTCCAAGTAAGTTAGAAAAGCATTAGCGAAGCTACTTAATCTTGTACAAATCATATTAAAGTACACATTAAAGAAATATAAATATATTTTGTCATTGTGTACGGGTTGGAATCTGTCTTGGGACAAACGCAAAAAGAGAAGCCATAAGATGTCAAAGCGCTTAATCGAAACGAAACAGAGCATCAAGAACCTCGTCGTAGAGCGAGAAGCGGTGGCAGTCGAGCTGCATCATCTACGACCGGAATTTCCGAAGATGGCAGTTCAGGCCAACACGCTGATTATTATACAGAAGTAAGTTTCATTTTCAAGTTACAAATTTGATTTTGGACGTTTCAGAACTTTTATAATTTAATAACAGAAAGAGATAGTAGCAATAACTTGAAAAATATGTGTAACGCTGATTGACTATCGTGTTGTGAGGGCGTAATTTTCTTAACGTTGCCGCGCTATGAAAGGTTTAATTTACTGCATGATTTAATTTATCCGTATGATATTGCAGACCGAGGATTGCGAAAGTAAGAAAAGTTTATAAGAATTACATTTGTATATTTATAGGACGTAAACATAGAAGAGGATACAGAGAGTAGTTCTGATTACATGGGTGAAACGAGTAACGATGAACACAGTGGGTGGTGGTAGCCAATCTGGAGCCAGTATGAAACCAGGCGATGATCTTGCTACAGATAGCACATTAAAACGGATTCTAGAGCAGGATTATGACCTAATGAGTATTAAGAACAAGGTAAGCTAGTAATTAAATTTTAGTTAATATACATATATATTACAGATAAGCTATAAAGCGTTTGTGCCGGATACATTTTTCAACAACTAAAAACTATTCCTGCTGTTTGCATTTTATTTATTTTTCATATTTAAATTAAAATTATACAAGGATTGTAATTTATGTTAAAAACTAATCTTTCACTGAAAACAAATATCATACAAATATATCACTGATATTTATTTCAGCTTATACTTCCGGCGCAACCTACTGTGATAAATATTCCAGAATCTCTGGCACAGCATTTCACTACGACGCAGTTTACGAATATCCCAGAGAAACCTTAATTCTCATATCGCAGTTTACGAATGTCTCAGAGAAACTCTCTGATTGTGTCGATTAATTATCGAACGGAAAAAGGAAAATACAATAGCAATGTTTTTTTTACGTATCGGGATAAGCTGTGATTATATAAAAAAAGAAAGAAAAAAATAACGGAAAACAGAACCTAGCAGGAACAGGACGCAACTGTATTTCTAGACAGTCTGATTTTGTAAATTATTCTACGAGGAAAACACTTGTGTATTATATATATATATGTATATGCGGATATGCGATATACAATTTGATATGATATATGATCTATGACGTTTGTTTATTACTATGTAAAGTGACAGACTTCGAAATTAAACATTAATTACTGTTAATCGTGGCGTTTTGAATTTACTCTTTTTCTTTTCCTTTACCTAAAGAGGATCATGAGAAAGTGAGAAAATTCCAAACGCTGCGAGAGTGCAGACACAATGGACATCCGAATTTTACAAAACGTGAAAAAACATTCGTCTTTTCTCATCTCTAAACTTTTCTCATCTCCTCAGACCGTGTTAATATTTAAACAAAATAATTTACACGTCACTCATAGAGCTAGCGCGATAAAAAAATAAGTTAACATTCGTTGAAACAACATTATACATTTATGCCTAACAACAATTTTTTGTGCTTGCACTCGCGAATCTCTTGCCGACGTGATACTCGATTTTCTCACACAGAATTTCTTGCTATAAGACACAAAGGGGAGTTTACTTCTTGCGGAAAATACTCGACATGCTGGGCGATTCAATTTTCTGTTGAAGAGATCTTGTTCATCTTCTGGCGCATATCCTTGGCAAACATTCATCGTCGTCATCGATAGGGAAAACCCGGAGCTCGTCGAGTGTCCTGGAATGAAGATAATTTTTTTACAAACGTTTAAACATTTTTCGTTATCGAGAAAATGTGTACAGGATACATAATGTTCCGCGCGTGAAACGCGTGATCGAAGCGTGATCAACGGCCTGTCTTCGCAGGCATGGAATGTCTTTGTCTGATTTCGTAAATATTCGATCACGCGTTCCGCACCTGCGGTGACGAGCTTCTAACACCACGTGATTCTCCAAGGACGAGAATGTTAGACAGAGACCCGAAGAATCGATGAATAAAAGTACAAGTTATACGTTGCATGTATGCTAGGATAACTTGGCTCGCCCGAAAATCGGCCAGGAGGTAGACGTATCGTACGTCCGGCACGTCCTCGATTAACGTTAACGTCAATGATTGAAAGCCACGACATGAAATATAATAAATTATATGCGAGACGAAAAAGACGAGAAAATTTCGAAGAGAAACGATAGAATTTCATCGTCGTCAGATGATTGCAGATTAATTAATTTCAATAATGGATTTGATAGAATATCTGAACGTCATGAACAGTCTACTTGCTATTTCAAAAATAAAAAAGGATTTAAATGATTTTCTTTTAGCAATAAATCTCACCTCCTGTACTACACCGCACCGCGATGTCCCTAATTTAATTAATTTCTTTGCAATCTTCTAATTCGATAACACTTCAAATTGCAACAATTAAGAAAATAAGCTGAAGATATATAATTAGTAATCCTTAAGATATATGTAGTAATCCTTAAGTCCTAAGAAATTAATCAATCATAGTTAATTATTTTCCTCACATTCGATTGTGATTGATCAATTTCTCACAGCAGATCTTAATGGAACACTTAATAAAGTTGTAGGGTAGTATTTCATTGTCGGATCTTTTATATTTAAGGCCGGCTGGAGTAATCTTAAGAGAGAGAGAGAGATGTTATAAACTAATCACTCGATTGTTAGATATAACAGAGCCGTATATATTATCAACCTTAAGCCATTGTCTTGAAATAAGAACCGACTATGTATACTAGCCTTAATTTTACTCATTAATTGTTCGTTGCTTAGCAAGGAAGATTTTACAGAAAAATATATTGCTCTTTTTCTTACCTATATAACAGGAGATGAGGTAATATGCGAAATCGAAATATATACGCAAGCCGTCCGCGACTTCTCTGCATATATTTACTTCGTTTACTGTCTTCTCTATGGTATACGGTATTATTCACTTTACTCCGTTGAGGTTTCTGTTCGTAATATTCTCGGTTCGGAATATTCGTAAACTGCGTCGTAGTACAATGCTATGCTAATCTGACAAATAAATTGAAAATAGGTTAAGCACGTTTCCCGTGTTG